GCGTGGGGAGCAGGGACAGGACAGGGACAGCATGGCAGAGACTGCAATCTCTGGCTGCACTCTGCCTAAGCAGGCGCTTTCATTTGCTGAGCTATCTGACTGGCCCAGGAGAGCCTGGCTTTTAGGGTTTTTTTTATTTTTATTTTTTTGGTGGAACCGGGGATTGAACTCAGGCCCTTACACTTGCCAGAGAAGCACTTATTCTACTGAGCCATCTCCCCAGCCCCAAGAGCCTGGCTTTTAGTACTCCATGGGGGACATCATCGCAGAGCTGTGGGCTGCAGGAGGCAAGCTCCCTAGGTTCCCGTTTTTCATTTCGGCTTCCCTGCATCTCAGGCCAGGGCCAGGTAGGTTTCAAACGCCCGTCCCGCTGTCTGCTTCCGAGGCAGAGTGTGCAGGATGAGGTGTTTGTTTGGCTGAGTCTCTTTGCTTTTTGCTGGCTGTGAACTTACAGTGAATCCTAACGCCTCTCTGGGCCTGCTGCCATCCCAGGAAACAGGTGCAGTGGTAATAACCACCTTCCATGGAAATGGGAAAGATTCTCAGTTGGAAAGAATCCCTTTTCTTTTTCTGATTCCTAATTCAGGCCAGCTCAGACTGTTTAGGGACCCAGATCCTAATCCAGATGCAGCTGGGTTTTTGTTTGTTTGTTTTTAATTTTATGTCTTTGGTATAGGGTCTTACTCAGACTTCGAGTGATCCTCCTGTTTCAGCTTCCCCAGCGCTGGGATTACAGGTGTGTGTCACCATGCCCAGTCTCGGTGGCTGACTCGGTGTACCTGGGCGTGGGGCTGGTGCAGCATGTGGTACTGGGGGTTGAACATGGGTCCTTGCACTTGCCTAGGCATTACTTGGACTGCTGAGCTATCTCCGCAGCCCCCCAGATGCAGCTGAGAGACTTTGCTGCACAGACTCTGAAGCCAGATGGTCCAGGTGAACTCAGATTGTTACTGTTCTCTTCTTGGTACCAGGGATTGAACTCAGGACCTTCAGCTTGCCAGGAGGCACGTATGCCACTGAGCTACATCCCCAGCCTCAAACTGTGATACACGGTAGGCTGGGGGTAGCTCTGTTGCAGAGTGTTTGCCTTTTTTCTCAGTGCATGTGTGAGGCCCCTGTACTGAAGGGGAAAAAACAAAAGCAGATTTCCTTAACCCCTTCTCAGCACTAAATGTGTGATCTTAGGTAAATTAGCCTCTCCAGGGGTTGGGAGATGGCTCAGTGGTCTAAGCGCCTGCCTGGCAAGTGGAAGGACCCAAGATCTATCCCCAGTGCCATGTGCTATGCTGGCCCTGGGAGCAAAGCTGGCCCGTGAAACCAGGCATGGTGGTGCACACCTGTGGTCCCAGCACTGGGGAAGCTGAAACAGGAGGATCGCTACAAGTCCGAGCTGCGAAGAAAACCCTGTACTAAATAAATAATTACAAAAAATAGCTTCTCTGTACCTTGGTTTTCTCACTACCATCGGGACACTAATAGTATTGAGCTCATATAGTTCTCACAGGAATTAATTAATTTACACATTAATTAATGTTCCGGGACAGGGAGATAGCTCCATAGAACAAGCACAGGGTCCTGAGTTCAAGCCCTGGTACCACACACACACACACACAAAGGAGTTCCTAAAATAGTGCTTAGCATGTGGCTAAGTCCTCAGGATATATTAGGAAAAACAAAACAAAACAAAAAAACCACAGCCTGGCCCTGGCCCTTCCTGTCTACCAAGAGTGGCTTGGACTAGTAGCAAGGCAGCTGGAGGGGTGTAGACTACAGGAAGAAGCTCCCAGCCAGCATATGCAGAGCCAGAAGGGCAGTGTGCTGACTCTCCCAGAGAAGGAGCACTGGCTCCTGAGGCAGCAGGGACGAGCTGCCAGCCTGTTTTCTGGGGGTGGGGGCCGACAGCGCCCCAGGCCTTGCTGACTCCACACGCAGAGTGAGACTGACAACAAACACCCTTCCTGGGCAGGCCCTCCGCTCTCCCTCTGAGTCACACCCTTCAGTCTTCCAGGGAAGGCAGCACTGGGAAACCCAACACAAAGGTCCTGATAGACACACGGCTCAGACTGGGCGACCTTATTTAGGAAATTTTATTGCTCAGAAACTTCCCTCCCCAGGCAGTGCAGAAACCAGCCCTTTGAGAAAGAGTTTGAGGCACATTTGGTCCACTTTCCTGTGTGTGATTGTGGATGAGGTGGCGAGAATGCAGGGCCTTCAAGGGACCCAGACATGGCCTGGTTGGGCAAGGTTTAGACCAGAGCAAAGCAGATGAAGTCATCCTTGTTTGGGGTGAGGCGTCAGTGCCGCTTGGTCTTGCCCTCGGGTTCCCGGATCTCTCGGAAGCTAAGCCACATTAGGCCCACGTTGACAGCATAAGTGGTGATGCAAACAATGCAGAAATCATAGAGCACGAAGAACAGGATCCACGCTAAGTAGACAGAACCAGCAAGGGATACCAGGGAACTCAGCACCAGCAGGGTAGAGGCCCAGCGGCCCCGCAGGCAACCTGCAAAGGAAAAAGGGTCAGGAGTGGCATCTCGAGCGTGCATGACTTCCTTGTGCTGCCCCTACACAGGGGCTGCTGGGAAAATAAAATAAGAGGCTCCGACAGGCCCAATCTAAGGCCTTGCTCCCCGCTTCTGTTCAGCAATCCCTGGGACCCAAAAAGAGAAATTACCTTCTGAGCTCTCCATGAGATGAAAGTCACCTTTAGATTTCCCTCAAGGAGGAATTTCTGCTAGGTGTAGTGGTGCACACCTGTAATCCCAGCACTCAGGAGGCTGAGGTAGGACAGCTTCAAGTTCAAGGCCAACCTTAACTACACAGTGAGTTCTGAGTTCAAGAGCAGCCTGGACTACATAATGAGACCCTCTCTGAAAGAGAGGGAG